GGAAGCTGCCCCCACTCCGACCCCCCCAGCTTTGGTATTTTTTTATGATTGTCCTGGGTTTTATTTAAGTGTTGGTCTCCCTGGGCGGGCCGGGGACCCTGCTCCCCCCCGGCTATTTATGAGACAGCTCCACTCCCCCCGGCACATGGGCATTCCCCCCCCCCAGCTCCTTCTCAGTTGTCATCCCCCCCCACTTTCGTTTGTGTTTTTTTTGTTTGTTTTTTTTTTTTGTTTTTTGTTTTTTTTTTTTAAAAAAAACAAAAAAAATAAAATTCCAAGTCCCTGGGGCGGGAAGAAACAAACAGCCTCGTGGTGCAGAGTCTGTCTGGGGGGGTGGGGGACGACGACACAGAGGTTCACCAACCCAGCGTCACCTTTCTGACACTTTATTTGATGCCATGGAGCAATAACTTAGCCGGTGGGGCCACGAGCGGGGGGGCAGGGGGCCTTGGTGGTGGCAGGAAAACAAGGGAAAAGGCACAAAACCAAGAGTGGTTGGGGGGGGGGGAACAACACATGATGACACGAGGGGTCTTCAGCCGCTCAGCACCATCCGGACCAGCTCTGTGGAGAGAAGGGGGGAGAGCAGGGTGAGGGGGGGAGGGCAGGCTGCCAGGCCCCCCCAGCCCTCGTCCCGGAGAGAGGCAGGAAAACCAAAGTCAAACGGCTGAAGAGCACAGGGAGGAACCGGCGTCGCTGCAGCCCTGGCACCCCCCGCTGGGGGGGGTGGTCCACTGGCCCCCCCCCATGCCAGCACCCACATCCCGGCCCCAGCACGCAGGGGGGCTCCATGCAGAGGGGCATGCGGGGGGAAAAGAGGGGGAAGGAGGGGCTGCACCAAGGGCGAGAGCGCAAACCAGGCGGCCTTTTTTTTTTTTTTTTTGGCTTTTTTTAAAAAAAAAAAAAAGACACCACCGAAAAAAATAGGCAGAAAAAAAAACTGGAAGTAACTGAGGGGAGCGGGGGGGGAGGCGTACCCCTGCGGCGTCACCCTGACAAGATGTGTCTCACAAACGCTGGGAGGAAGGAAGGAGACATGATGGTCAGGGAGGGAGCGGGGCCGCGGCCGAGCCCCCTGGGACCCCCAGCACCCCTGGGACCCCCAGCACCCCCTGCCCTCACCTTCGTAGTTGATGCAGCCATTGCTGTCCTCATGCCCAGCCACCAGCTGCTCCACCTCCTCCTCCGTCATCTTCTCGCCTGCAGGACAGCCTGCGTCACCCCATGGTGA